TGGTTGTCTGGAGCAGTGTCTGCTTCTGGTAGTGGTGGGGAGGTGCAGGCAGCGGCTGTTCTAGCTGGGCTGCCTGCGGTGAGGGGGCCACTCCAGCCCAGTGGTGGATGGGGAGGGATCACTTCAGCCCAGCTGGACTGGAGCAGCCCCCCTTTAATGGGTTAATCAGTTAAACAATATATTTAACTGGCTAACCAATTAAATGGGATTTTACATACCTACCCCATGCAACTGCCCCATGAGAGACAGAGTTGGGATGGTTGGCCTGGTTGCCTGCGGTGAGGGGGCCACTCCAGCCCAGTGGTGGATGGGGAGGGATCACTTCAGCCCAGCTGGACTGGAGCAGCCCCCCTTTAATGGGTTAATCAGTTAAACAATATATTTAACTGGCTAACCAATTAAATGGGATTTTACATACCTACCCCATGCAACTGCCCCATGAGAGACAGAGTTGGGATGGTTGGCCTGGTCGATTCCCTGTAAGCTATCTCTTCCCTTCCCCAATCTACCAGGTAGCAGCATGCGGGCTAGGCAAGGTGGATCCCAGCAGATTTATGCCCCACATCTTGATCTCTCAGGAGGGAGTATAGAGGGATGAGGTGGGTAGATCCCAGCTGGGGATTCCAGGGGGTCTTTAACCCTTCTTTAATCTGTTGGAATGGAAGGTAGCACAGGAGCTGAATCCCCCAGTAAAATGTATAGTTAGGCAGAGCAGAGGCTAGGATCTTAGCAGCTGACCCCAAGAGATCTGTTGACCTCTGCACACTGATCTATCCAGAGGCAGCATGTGGGCCAGCGGTTCCCAACCTTTTCCAGATGGGAACCCATTTTGACAATTCAGGGAGACTTGGTGGTCAGGAACCCAGATGGAGATGTGGGTGCCGTCAAAAGTCTCCCCTTCCCCCCGCCCTTGGGAAAGCCCATGTTGACAAAGCCAGCGACAATGGCATCCATATCACCAAGGTTGATGACCCTGCGCAGCAGGATGATGTTGATGGCCCGCACCACCTGTAGAAGAAAGCAAACAAATAGAGACTCATAGGGATGCCAGGGCCCTCCGGAGATCCCCAAACCTAACCCCCCATTCCGCCACAGCAGGAGCAATCCCCCATCCCCCAGCAGGGCTTTGTGAGGGCAGGACTGAAAACCCTCCCAGGGAGAGGGGTTGTACCACCACTTCCATGACCTCAGGCAATTCAAAAATGGGAGGGGGGCGGAGACACTTGGCGACCCTTTTGAAATGTAACGACAACCTGTATTTGGGTTGCAACCCATAGGTTGGGAAACCCTAATGGGGGCTGAGCTGGGTGAATCCCAGCAGTTGGACTCCAGGGATCTGTCCCCATGGTCTTTCAGGAGATGGAATAAGGGCTGGGCTGTGTGGATTCCAGGGGTTTGTTAGCATTACCCCAGTCTTTGTCAGTGGTTCTGAACCAGGCATCTGGGTCTCATGGGGATGGGCATGAGCATGCTTCAAGGGGGGCCAGAAACTTTCTGGGACCCACCGCATGGGGCTTCAGCCCAGGGCCCGGAGGACTGCCACCTGGGGCAGACACCTGAGTAACCTAGCTTCGCAAGGCCCGTTGTGGCATGGAGTCCCAAGCAATTGCCCTGCTTGCTATACCAGTCCTGGCTTTTATATGTGGAAAATTAGTTCTTGTGGCACAGGTGGGCTGTTGAGTTTTTATAGCATGTTGAGAGGCCTCAGAAAAAAAAGGTTGAGCCCTCCCACTTCGCACCTCACACACTGGCATACGCAGCTGAGAAGCTGAGTTGCAGTGGTCGGGCAGGAACTGCGGAGGGAAATCTGCCCAAATGCCACGAGGTCCTTCCCTCTTTTCCAACCACCCTCCATAAGCAGCCAAATTCAGGTCTTCCTGGGAGACCAAAGAAGCCGGCAGCTGAACCTTTTTTAGGCGTTCGGGTGGGACCCCCAATTGTGTCATGCAATAGGAAGGGGGGGGGGTGTAGTGGGGCACAGGCGGCAGAGTTGGTAGCCAAGATTCCTTGGTTTCACAGGGTTCCTATCTACTCTAGCATCCCCTGCTTCCTCAAGGAGGGAAAGTGATTCCTTGGGGTGAGGTCGGGGGGGGAGGGGGCGGGGAAGCTCATGTGGGGATGTGCCTGGCCTTACCCCTTGTTTGGTGTCCGCCACCCTGCAGGGTTAACAGTGGCCATGAGGTATTGAAAATCCCTTACCCCCTGCAGCAGTGTATGGGAGTCAAATCTCTTCAAATGGTGTTTTCTTTCTCTGTGTGTGGGGCGGGGAGAGGGTGCCAGGCAAGGAGCAGCTGCTGTCGGAGGTGCCAGTGTGCTGGCAGCAAAGCAGTTTGGTGTTAAGAGGAACTCTTTGCTGGTGCCAGAATAGCCACTTGTGCTCCCATGGGGTGATTCCTGATTGCCCGGGCGTGTGTGTGAGGGGAATCAGCCTCAGTGAGTGCCACAGGAGTACTGGGGGTGAGGGGAACCTGCACTGATGTCAGCAGTGGAGTTACTCCTCATTTGCACTGTATGTAGCTCCTCTCACTTTGGTGGTGGTGGTCCTGTGTCGGGGAGGGGAGAGGAATTCACACTACTGCCTGGCCTGCACCAAGGTGACCAAAAGGGTAATTCTCTCCCTTGACTTCCATGGAGTGACTCCTGATTGACACCTGCAGTAGCTCTTCTCATTGTACAGCAGTTAGTCCTGCTTCCTCTCGGTGTGTGGGAGGGGCAAAATCCTCCCTAGTGACTGCTGTGGAGTTCATTTCTGCTGATTTACACTGGGGGTAGCTCCTCTTCTGGCTGAGATCACTCCTGGAGCACTTGGGGGCAGTGAGATGCCAGCCAGCCCCCAGCTAGCCCTTATGACTTCCCACCACTAACCCCCTTGCCTCCCAAAGCAGCAAGTACGCTCCAGCTCTTCCTGCGGGACCCTCTGGCACCAAAGGCAACGCCGTTCCCCACATGCCTTCTCAGGCCTTGGTTTGTGTCTCTTTCTCCATTGTTATTTTTCTTAATTTTATTGTTTAACCGGAAAAAAAGAAGCATTTCTCCGTCTCCCTGCTACAGAGAGACCCCGAATGCTTTTTTTTTTAAGAGACTAATAAAGACCCCCTCCAAGACTCTCTTCTGTTGTCCTGTTTCAATTTCAGTTCGATCTGTCCGGGCTTTTGAGTTCTTTCTTTTTCCTTCCCTTTCTTTTTTTGTTTACTCCGTTTCGGCATCCGAACCCCTTTTCTCTCTCTCCCCCCACCCTTTTCTCTCCCCCTGGGGCCTGGATGTCTGTCACAAGTTAAAAACAGCTTTTAAATTGTGGCAAAAAGATTAAACCCTCCTTTTTTCTGTGCGTTTATATGACTAGTCTTTTTTCTTTCTTTCTTTTTATCTTTTTCCTCTCCCCTCAAGGTCCTGCTCATCTGACGTTAAACAGCCAAGGTATGACACTTTACCTTTGTTATTTTCACCCCAAACGAACAGAAGTTTTAATTTCCGCTCCTCCCTTCTGATCTCCATCCTTCCTTCATTTCTCTCTTCCGGTTATTTTTCTTCCCACCCTTTCTCCCTCCCATTCGCTTGAATCATCTCTTGACTCGCGGTGGTTTTTGCCATGGTCCCAGATGTTTTGCTCAGACGCTGTGCTGTGCAGCAGGGTGGTAGAGAGTCTAGCATGTGCCAAAGCCAAAAGGATAAAACTTGATTTTCTGGAATGTGAGGCTGGGGCAAACAGTAGGTGGCTCAGGGTGATGTTCTGATTGTTAGCAGTTGTATCTATGGTGGTGGCTGTGGGGGGATTTTGAAGGTGGGGGTGGATCTCTGAGCCTGGGATCTGGGCCTCTGCTTTTCAATTGGTGTTTGCTTAGTATTGCTTGTGTGCAGCTAGCGATGATTCACAAGGGTGCCTGTGTGTGGCACATAAGAGAAACCAATCTTCGCATTGAGACACGAAGGGGTGTGTGTGTGTGTGTGTGTGTGTGTGTGTGTGTGTGTGTGTCTGAGCTGTACAAACACTTGCACTCAGACCCAAGGGGTGTGCGTGTGTTTCCTGGAGCTATGGAGTTTTGCACTGATACACAAGGGTGTCTGAACATCCAGGCAATAGACCCTTGCACTCAGACACAACGGTGTGCGTGTGGGTCCCAGGGGTATAGACTCTCAAAATGGAAACGCAAAAGTGTGCCTGGGTCCTATCACTGATGTGAGAATGTACATGTGTCTTCAGGTGGTAGGAACCCTCACACAGAGACGACCATGTGTTTGTTGGAACTACAGATCCTTGCAGTTAAAACAGAGGGTGTCTCTGTGTCTGTGTCCCATTGGCATGCCCCTTGAAATTAGTTGAAGTGTGTTCCAGTGGTATGGATCCTTGCAATATGACACAAGGGCCTAAATATGTTTGTCCCAGCAGTACAGGCCTGCCTACTGAAATGAGAGCATGTGCGTGTGTCCTTGTGATACGGACCCTTGCACTGAGACACGAGGGCATATGTGTTGACTGGTACTATGAATCCTAGTAGTGAGACATGAGGGGGTGTGTGTGTGTGTGTGTGTGTGTGTGTGTTCTGGCACTACAGACCCTTGTAGGGAGACGTCCTTTGTGTATCCATGTCGGTATAGCCCTCGTGCTGAGACACATGGGTGTGCATATGTTTGTAATGGTGCTACAGCCCGTGACAGTGAAACATGAGGGCATACCTGTGTGTCCTGACTGCATGGAACTTGAAATTACATCTGTGGGTTTGTGTACAATAGGGATGTAAAAACCTGGTTAATCAGTCAGTCAGCTGAATCTTAGCTTTTCCTAATGTTTAACCTGTTAACTGACTAAAAGTGGAATCCAGGCTGGAGATCAGCCCCCACCCCTGCACTAGGGCTGGTGCTGCCACCAGTTCTCAACCTCGGCAAGATTAGTCCTTTGCTTGTAGGGCGCTTGGGTTCCCTGCGGACAAAGCCTGCTTGTCAGGTGCCTGGAATTCCCACAGACAGAAGCTGCTCTGGGTGAGAACAGCTCAGTGGGTTCTCTGCAGGGCTGGAGCAGCCCCTGCCCCTACTGTTTCAGAGGGGTAGCCGAGTTAGTCTGTAACAGGAAAAACTTAAAAAAAAAAAAATAGTCTGGTAGCACTTTAAAGACTAACAAAACATGTAGAAGATATCATGAGCTTTCGTGGGCCCAGACCACTTCTTCAGATGACTGGAGTGTTGGAAGTCCAGAACCAAGACTAAATAAGGGAAGGAGGTTGAGGGGGAGAGGACATTGGGTATATCTTGCCACGTTACAGACTCTCACATTCAGATGGGGATGTGCACATCTGTGCCTTGTTAGTCTGGACCCTTTATATGCAAGGGTATGAATATGTGCATCTCAGTAGAACATACACACACACGTGTCAAGTGTGAGGCTATGTCCCTGCATTACAGAACCTTTCACTGAAAAGTGAGAGCATGTGGGTATATACAATTCTGTGGAATAGACCCTCACACCGAGACACGAGTTTGTACATGTGTATTCTGGTTGTATGGACCTTGAAAGAAAAGCGTGTGTGTGTGTGTGTGTGTGTGTGTGTGTGTGTGTGTGTGTCTGGGAGTAGGAACGCTAGCATTAAGACAGAAGGGTGTGCACGTGTGTGTCTCAGGGGTATGTCCTCTCCACTGTGGGAACGTCTGTGCTGCAGTTTGGAGCATTCTTCCTAGCTTAATTGAACAGACATGTGCTAACTTGCTTGAGCAAATGTGCTAAACGAAGCAGCATCTCTGGCTGTAGCATGGGTAGCATCTGAGGCTACCTGCCGGAGTAGAAACCTGCCCTGGACAGCTAATCCAAGCTACTGTCTCAAGCTATGCTGTTTTTAGGATGCTTGTTCAAGCAAAGCTAGCACCTGTCTGACTACCCAGCTGCTGTGCAGATGTATCTTGAAACTTTGTGAATTAGGGATGTTAGCGTATAGTCATTTAAACAATTAACTCATAAACCTGTATGGGTATGTCTACACTACAAAGTTAATTTGAACTAACAACCGTTAGTTCGAATTAACTTTAATAGGGGGTACACATACAAACCACTAGTTCGAATTTAAATCGAACTAGCGGAGAGCTTAATTCGAACTAGGTAAACCTCATTCTACAAGGAGTAATTTGAACTAACAACCGTTAGTTCGAATTAACTTTAATAGGGGGTACACATACAAACCACTAGTTCGAATTTAAATCGAACTAGCGGAGAGCTTAATTCGAACTAGGTAAACCTCATTCTACAAGGAGTAACACCTAGTTCGAATTAAGTAGTCTGAATTAAGGGCTGTGTAGCCACTTAATTAGAACTAGTTGGAGGCTAGCCCTTCCAAGGTTGCCCTGGTGGCCACTCTGGGCCAAACCAGGGAAACTCTTCTGCCCCCCTCCCGGCTCCGGAGCCCTTAAAGGGGCAAGGTCTGTCTACCAGAGATCGTGGACATTATCGAGGTTTGGGGGGAGGCCTCCAGCGTCCACGACCTCCACACTAGGCACAGGAATGTGCCCGTCTAGAGCAGGATAGCTGCCAGCCTGGCCACCAAAGGCCAGGAGCAGGTTTGCATGAAAATCAAGTTGGTCCAGTGAGACCCCCGACCCTGAGCTTAGTACATAAGAACATAAGAATGGCCATTCTGGGTCAGACCAAAGGTCCATCTAGCCCAGTAGCCTGTCTGCTGACAGCGGCCAACACCAGGTGCCCCG